AGAATCTTATATGCAAATATGGGGTTCTTAGCAGGATCATTATAGACAATGGGTCCAATTTGAACAATAAAATGATGAAATATTTATGCGATGACTTCAAAATTGAGCATCATAATTCTTCACCATATCGACCTAAGATGAACGAGGTCGTTGAAGCTGCCAATAAGAATATCAAGAAAATCATTCAGAAAATGGTAAATACATGCAAAGATTGGCACGAAATGCTCCCCTTCGCTCCACATGGCTATCACACGAGTTCAAATGAAAACAAATATTGAAGAGTGCGAATAGGTTCAGACGCGACTTGATTAACTTAACCTCATTGAAGAAAAACGTTTAACAGCCCAGTGCCACGGTCGGTTATACCAAAAGAAGATGAAAAGGCATTTGACAAAAAGGTTCGTCCTCGAGTGTTCAAGGAAGGAGATTTGGTGCTCAAGAAGATTCTAGTACCTCGCCTTGATTCACATGGTTAATGGACACCTAACTACGAAGGTTCGTATGTGGTAAAAAAACATTTTTCAGTGGTGGTCTTATCCTAACAACAATGGATGGGGAAGAACTGCCACATCCAACGAACTCGGACGCAGCAAAAAAATACTATGTATAAAAATCCCGCTAAGTTCGAAACCTAAATGGGCGATTTAGGCAAAAAGGGGTTTCCCAGTGGATTGAAAACTCGAAAGGGTGGTCTAGGAAAAAATTATGGACATAAACAAAAAATTATTCTGGTGGACTAAAAACTCGAAAGGGCGGTCCAGGAAAAAGTTAGGGATCTTATTCAAAATAAAGAACAAATAGACCACGATCTAAGAACCACGATTATGACCACGAAGGATAGGGATTAATCCAAATCAGTTGACTCCGAAGAAAAGGAGATTTGAGCTATCAAAAGGAAATTGGAGAAACAACAATAGAAATTATCATTTTCATTGCCATTTTATAGTTTTTGTTAAAACTTTCTATGATGACCTCTTTCTAGGAATTGCATCTTGTACTCTTGCCTATTCAAAGGAATGATTATCAATAAAACATTTACTTTTTTAATCTTTTCAATTTGTGTTTTTCTTTTTGGACTTGTTTGCAAAATACTACGATTATTTCTTATGAATACTGCGTTAAAATCATTTTGGGGATTTGACAAACAAAAAGAAGCATTTGACAAAACATCAAAAAGGAATTTTGGTTAGAAAAACATCGAAAGAAAATTCACGTTTACGTCCATGCTTGCGACCCTAGCCACATCCACGCTTATGTCCACAACTTTACCCACCCCTATGCCTTCACCTATGATACGAATATCAAAATCAAGCTGACACTATTCATCTTGTTCAAAATAACTCAAAGATACCACGACAACGCAACATACAATGTTGGGGAGTGGGTGACACAAATAAAAAACCAATGGTTTAAAAGGAGAGAATACCAAAAACATTTACAAAAAACATTTGGAGCATATACAAACATTTGGGGCATATACAAACATTTGGGGCATGTACAAACATGTGGTGCATATATAAACATTTGGGGCATATACATAAAAAATTTAGTGCATATACATTTTGGTTCCATATCATCTTAGGGCAATATTGCACCGTACATGGCATTTTTCAAATTTATTTTGGTTAAACTACAAACTCTCTTGGGGCCTATTGTCGAATTAGATTATCTATGCAAAAGAAACAAACACCTTGGTTGAGAACAAACACAACCGGTAAACTCTGATCTTATATTTGGTTTAGTTATCTAAAAGATTTGATTATCAAAACACTTTTCAAATATCTATCCTCTAGGTTGTGATAGGTATATGAATTATCAAGATTATGTTGTTCATCCTCTAGGTCGTGATGATTACATAAATCTATCCTCGTGTCATTTAGCCTCTAGGTCGTGATAAAGGCACAAACTTTTCCTCGTATTATCTATCCTTTAGGTTGTGATAGGTATGCAAATTATCAGGGTTATGTTATTTATCCTCTAGGTCGTGATAAATACATAAACTTACTCTCGTGTCATTTATCCTCTAGGTATAAATACACAAGTGTATCATCGTTTTATCTATCCTCTAGGTTGTGGAAGGTACGCGAAAATCAATAGTTCATTACGTTAGTCTCCAAGCGATAATGGATTATCAGGTTATGATATCCATCCTTTAGGTCGTGATAAATACATAAATCTATCCTCCTATTGTTTACTCTCTAGGTTGTAGTAAATATAGGAAATATGCATTATAACTTACTATGTTAGTCTCAAAACATTAGTAAGTCAATGACCAAACTTGTGTTATTTACCTCTTGAGTTATGGTAAATACGCGAGAAATCTATGATCTGTTTTAGGCATTGACAAGTTATCCATGTCATCGTGTCTAAGTCAAATCAAAACTTTTTGTTCAAACTCTAGTAAGATGATACATCATCATTTGTACCTATTTTTCATACTCTTGAGAACGCTGTACAGTGTATCCTTATAATCTTATGGTCAAATTTTGGGGTATTCCATTATTTAATAAACCTCTGATTCAAATGTGCGAGACCTGCATATTCTTGCATTATTCAATCGAAGAGTGATTAAATAGGGGCATCTGTCGTACCCCAATTTTTCCCCATCAAAATCAGTGATCATATTATTACTATGTTCTAAATTATAAATCATATTATTAAAATTTTCTCCTTTTTAAAGTCTTTTTCTAATAGGGATTTAAAATCATAAGAGGGGTGTACTATAGACCATCAAAATTTGATGGACCATTAAGCTTTTGGTTCCATGTATAAAATTAAAGGATTTTTTTTTATTAGAAGGGTATGATATTTAATTGGGATTTCTAAAATTAGAACGGCCCATGTAAAACTCTTTTTAGTCCTTTCAAAAAAATAGGGGTACATTGCTAAAGGAGGTGTATGTTTTAAGTGGGCCATCAAAATCTGATGACCCATTAAGGTTGTTATTCTTTTTTTATATATAATATAATAAGGGGGTATGTTTAGAAAATCAGGCTGGCCCATTATGGTTTTTGTGGCTCGTTTAGAATTTTAGAGGGATACATTTTTTTAGGCCAATTTGGTCCAGGGTGCTGACCAGAGTCAATGGCTGATTCTTGGTTCCCAACTTTATTATAATTTTTTCTTCTATTATTCAAATATTATTGTTATTATTACAACTATTATTGTTGTTATTTTTTAGTTATGAGTTGAACGAAGTCAACATTAGTAAGATAAGATTTATGGTCTTATACTGATATTATTAAATAACTGCTATTATAATTAAAATTACCAGTTATTATTATTAATATTTATTTTAATTTTATTATTATTTATTTTTATTAAAATTATATTTTTATCTTTCGTTGACCTAAGTCAACACAGAGGATGGAAACCCTAATGCAACCTAGCGGCGTCCCTGTTTCTTCACAACAATATCCAAGAAATCTAATAAACTGATAATGTAGAGATTCAAAAACAAATCAATATTATTGAACACAATCAAATCGATACAGAATTAGGTCTAAATTGAGACTGAATATATTAAAACAAATCACAATCCAATTACAGTGTAAATCGTCCAATTACAGTATCAATTACAAATTAAAATCTTAATCTAAATCAATCAATCTTCAATCAACGAATTATAACAGCAAATCGAATAAAAGTTTCCTAATCCATCTCTAAACTAAGCCTATATAAACCCTAAGAAGTAAGAACATGGAAAAAAGAAAAATTGATAAACGAAGGAGTAGAAGAAACCCTTTATTGAGATATGGGTTTCAATTTCTAAAACCCTAGATCTGTGTGTAATACCCCAAATTTTTTCTACCCTTTCACTTTTATCTGAATTATGCAATTCTCATTTCATTTGTATACCCTCTATTAGGTCATCTAACACATCATGTATCATTAATCAATAGTTTGGCATGAGATCAAGGATTTTCAAGAAACGGGGTTTCTCTGCACTTTTGAGCTCCCATCTTCATTCAAGGTGGAATCAACTGGTTTCTTCAACAATCATTGGTTTGAAGCTAGATTCATGCGTTCATGGTCATTGAACACTTCCTCTTTCACCAAACTCCGAGGCTATTAGGATTTATTTCCCTGTGTGTGATTAAAGTTAGGGTTTCTCAGCTATTGCGCTTCAATTGAGGATTCAGTTGAATGTCATGACAAGTAAGTTCTTTTGATACTTCAAGTCTTATCATCTTCAAATATTCTTCAAGAGAATATATTACTTTTGAGATTATCTCTCTTTAATTCAAGGGCTTGCGGTCTAGGCTCAAGTCACTAAGACAACTGTGTGGCTCTTAATGCATGCCAACTTAATTTATTGGTTGGAGTTATGGTGGATTTAAGATATTTATTTCAAATGATTCCGTTTTTTTGTTCAAAATTGTCGAGATTGGGTTCATACAAATTTGGTTGGTTTATATGGATTATTTGGAATACAATGTTCAACACAAAGTCTAAGCAAATATTAAGAGGCTGGTTTCATTCAAGACATGGTTTGTTCAAGATCATTACCATATATTGGCTTCTTTTGAATTTCATCCTAGATTCATTCATTTGTCCGTATTATCATCAAGTTCAGGTTCATTCATTTGGATTATAGTGAGTTCAAGTTTCCAAGGAAAAATAACTCATCATGATTCATTAACAAATTACACAGTCAAATGATTTCATCCATTATGCATTACCAAGGTACAAGAAGATTACATAAAATAAAAAACCAAAGTCCACAAACTAAATTTCTAAACCAATTATAATCCAAAATCCATGCGCCAAAGCAATGTTTCATCCAATTTACAGAAAATTCAATAAATCCCATCCAGTACATAAACCACTACATCATTCTAATTACAAGGAAATTCTACAACTCAGCATACTGTCTCCAAAAAGCTTATCTCATTCCAATTCTCCAAGGTTTTTCATCTTCACCATTTTCCAAGAGTGACTCCATGGCTCTTAATAACTTGAACTTGCTTCAAACCAATCCGAAACTGCCTTGATGCGCACTAATCCATGATACTGTGAAAACCTGCAAATTAACCCGTAAAGGACATACAAACTATCATGCTTCAAGATAGGTATATAGATCAAAATCTTAGCAAGATTCATGGCATAGTTTCAAGTGAACTCAAATAGCTTAAATCGGAATTTAGTGCATACAATATCATGAAGAAATTGTCACTTACCATTCGAATACGACTCTGTATTCACCTTGCATCTAGTGCCAAAGCAAGCCAAAGGGAACCTTGAACATTCATTTGACATGCCATCAATTGAACCTGCACAATACAAACAGCGAGGCAACATTTTTAGTTCAGTAACAAATCAAAAAGTGGTCCTGCAATCTCAGCTGAAGCAAGCGATCAAGCTGGATTCTTGATAGAGTCGGATCGTGACTATGATGTACCACAAAAAGAAGAATGATTAACACATCCTTATACAACCCGAACCAAGCAAAATTCAGAGTAAAACAAAAACAGAAGAGAAAATCAGAAAATAACATCTAACATTTTTAACTGAAAATCTGCCAACTAAACTTAACTGACTAATTGAAAACAGAAAGTTAACAAAAAAAACTAACATAACAACCTTCTAACTAACATCTAACTGAATTTCAGCTCAGCTCTAACCTCCTAGCTGCTTCTAACAAACTTCTAAAAGAGATCTATAACAGAAACAACGTAACAGATTCAGAAAGAGGGGATTCATTCACGAGAAAAATTCTAACAGAATATAAATTGTGATATACCTGAGATTGCTTGATTCTTCAATTTTCTGAGGAGAATCACCAACACTCTGAAAGCTCTCTCTAAAGCTTGGCTTCCATTCTTAAATCTTCATCGTTCTGCATTGTCTCTTCATTCTCATTCATCTCTCTGCAATCTTCACTCTCTCTGTAATCTTCCCGCAGCATTCACCAACTTCATCTTTCGTTCTTCAATCTACTGCAACAATATCATCAACTCTCCAATCACCTTCACTCTTTGCAAATCTTCTTAGCATCTGCATCGCAATAACAAATCGACTTCGTATCGCATCAACAACATCAATTCTGCATCATCATTATCTTCATCATCGTTGCAAGATCAGAATCCTCACTGCAATAGCAAGAACGTATCATTTCTTCATCGCACATCAATCTCCTTCATCAGGCAACAGAAAAAGCCCATAAACAGAAGCGATAAGAAGAGAAAGAAGTGTCACGAAGTAGAGGCAAGAACAAGAAGAATAAAGGAAGCTTAATATTACCTCCAACATCGAAGTTCTTCGGGGTTTGTTCTCCTCTACGGGTCATCGACGCCGCTATCAGGTCGATAATCTCACCATCTCCTTCACACGTTCTTATACATTTCATATCGTTATGTAGCCCATGATGTGTTTATTTATAACCCTAGGGTCTCATCTCCGGATTCACTTCTATCATCGTTTGATTCTTCCTTGAGTTTTCTAAGCTTTCTTTTCCATATTTGTTTAGATTTGAGGAATATGAGAAGGAACCGGTGAAGAAGAGAATGTTGAGGTATAGTTGTAGCGGGGCATTGGTGATCGAAGCAGAGAGCGACAATTGAGAATGGAGGTGAACGACAGAGAGCTCGAAGGAGGAATATGCAAATGAAGGGAGTTTGAAGTCTTTGAAAGAACATGAAGGGTCTCAAATCATAAGTCTGTATGCGGCGTCGTTTAGAAAATTAGGTTCAATTCTCTTTGAAATTTGTTTTTTTATTAATCAGAAATTGAAAAACAATTTATTAACAACTTGAGAATACATTAGGATTGTTGAATGTAGCGTTTGTGCCCCTGTGTCAATTGGGCTTGGCATTTTCGCACCACCCTCTAGATCCATGAACCACCATGCCATCAAGCCCTTGTTTTTCTTGATAGGCTGAATGAGTTAAACAAAAAGCAGCTTATGGACTATTGTGTTTTCTGCTGGGCCTCGCTTGCCACCATGCCATCAAACCCTTATTTTTTTTATAGTCTGAATGAATTGAACAACAAAAGCAACATTGAACTCTACTGAATGGGCCAACGCCTGAGTTACAACCACACCATCTGGATTTCAATTTTCACCCCTGACTCTTTCTAATTGTTTTAGGACTTTCTTTTAATTTTTCTATATTTTTGTTATGATAAAAAGTATAAAATCAAAAAATTTTATTAGACCTCTTTAGTTGATTTTAGGAATTAACTCTTTAGTTTTCGATAGAATTTTTCCATATATAATAAACTAATAAAAAATATGTTTTCTTTTAGTTTTTATTCATATTTTCATACCTTTGTGTCTCGTTATTTTTGACGCATTTGTTCATTGTGCAAGGTACATTTTTTGGTGCTTTGGATCATGTAACATAACAAGTTGTTATGTGATCGAAATGTGATATTTTGTGATACTTTGTGCAGGAATTTCTGATTACGCCTTGCATTTGCAACACGTGTTTTCTTTTATCTTAGTTGGATATCATTTCTGACTTTGTTTGTTTCTTGGTGAAGCTTGCTCAAAGCGTACTCCCTGCTTCCCTATTGCTTTCGTTCGCTTTCGACGATCCGCTCACTTTTGGTAGTCTTCGCTACTGTTTTTATATTTCTCTGCACTTTATCACATTTCTTTACTGCATTCTAAATGTCATGAGAAGTATGGAATAAATAGTGTGCGCTCGAAGTCGTTGTTTAAAGTCTTGTAGGAGGCACCTCATTTTGTATGTTATTTGTGTTTGTTTAAAACCCTACCTTTGAAGTAGGTATTCCGCACGTGTGTTTACATTTGTGCCCACACTATTCCCTCATCCCTTATTGAAGTCCTCAAAAGGAGGTGAGCAGAAAGGGTTAGCAATCAACCCCCACAATTTCGTCTGTGTCATCCTTAGCTCGTGACACACCACGATGCTTCAGAGTTTTGCATACTCTTGTTATCGAGTCGTCAAGTGAAAAAGGGTTTCACATTCGAACCCCTACACTTTGTTAGAAGTTCGCATTGGCCAATGCTGACACTCCGTGATTGTTCATATCGCCTTCTGTCGCCTACTTCGATCTTCTATATCTTGGTTAGGTGTTTAGTAGCTTTGGACATCACATGTTTGTTTTACATCCTATTTCCACTTGTTTGCTTCGAGTGATCCGCTCCCCTTAGCTAAAGCATTTCTCTTATTTTATATTTCACTCCCACTTGTTTGTCTCGGGTGATGCTCTCCCCTTGACTAAAGCATTTCGCTTCTTTTATTTACCATTTTATGTGTGTTCTCTTTCGAACTTGTTTGTTCACCTGCTTTTTATACCATGTTCCCTTAGGATGTGCTTGTTCCTTTCAGATGCAAGTTAGACCTTAGGTTGCAAACCATGCATGCTAACATTAGGTAGACGTTTCCCTTTTGATATTCCAAACTTTAGGGCCACCATTGTATGATAATATTAGGATTAAAAATAGGCTAGTCTCCTGTAGACTCTTTTCTTCCCCTTTTTGCATTTGCATTTAAAACTAAAACTTTGTTTTCTTGGCAAATAGTAAAACATCTTAAGCATACGTAAACCCTTTTTTAAGGTGACAAAACACAAACCAATCAAATATGGAATCTTGCCTTGAGGGCGTAACTCAAATCCATTTTCAAGTAAGGATATATTAATTTACTTCTGTGCCAACACGCGAGTCTCCAAAGGTTGAGCTGAGGCAGAAGGCACAATTAACATTGTTCATAAAAAACACAAAACAAACAAAACATATGATCCGAACTACGGTAACTCTGATTCCTCCAAAAAGATACACAGACATTGGGGTAGGGTCCAAGCGAGTACAACTTTATTTTCCCTATATTATTTTATCTTTCCTTTTGCATGCATTCTTCCTCGGTGTGATACGGTGGGAGAACTGACTTGAGGGTTTTGCGTTTTATCGCAAATGTTGCGGTTAGCAAGAGTCGCCACCGACTTTTCTTTTGTCCAAAAGGAAAGGTGAAAAAGCACAGGGAAGACCTTTGAGATGTTTTCTTGAGTTCGGGGGGTAGATTATGAAAAGGGAAGGTATTAGAACCCTTTTCATCCATGGTTTTCCATGTGATCTTAGTTACTTGCTAGATCACTTGCTTTTTGTTTGAAATTGTGCTTGATGTGGTTTTTGAAAGTATTTTGTAAAGAGGCCATTGTTTAGGCAATCTTTGTAATGATTCTCATTCATAAGAATGTATACAAAGATGTTGATCTTTTGAAAATGTTTTCGAGTTTTGTAAGATGTTTTGAAAGTATAGGTGTTTATTTTTGAAAATAGCAAGGATGTTTTATTTTGAAATGGAGCAAGTAATTAGGAGCAATCTACCTACTCAAATGTCTTTCTTGTTTATTTTCTTTTCCTTTGATATTATTGTCTTACCATTGATTTGGTAAGCAACCCTATCTTTGGATGTAAACGGGACGGGCGTTGGTCATCGTATAACCATGATTAGAAATGTTGCAAGGTATCTTAGCATTCTTTTTGAGGGACTAAGATCATTTATAAGGCAATTTAGATAGCGTCATCGAGGGACTATGATCTTGTATTTGCTTGTTTTTGCTAAGATACCTTACATGCTGATGTCGCGATAGACCTAATGTGTCTAACGGTATCTTAACTGCAAGTGCACAGTCTATCGCGGTAGTAATAAAAAGATGTCGAACCCACAGGGACTTCGTAATCACTCTAGTGTTTTAAACAGGTTAGTTTAGCTAAGGCGGAAATTGTCACGTTTGGTTTTTTTAGGAGTTTAAAACTAAAGGGAAACTAAATTCAATTAAGGGAATTAATATTAAAGTGGTCGGAGCGTAATGATTTGAACCTATGCGAATTAAGTTGTACCTAAGCATATAAAAATGTTTAACTCAATTGTTCTGTAGTACTTATCAGTTTAAAAACCCTCGATTCACACTCTCGTGGTCTTACCTCGGATCATACTCCTAAAGCCAAATGTCTGCTCTCGCTAGTCCATAAGTGTTTAGAAAGCATCTTTTTGAAAACTAAATAAGTCTAATTCGTTTTAAAGCGCTCTCGCTGTATTTAAATCGAATGCCTAACTTTAGCTATCCGATTAAAACCTCACACTCTCGTGGTCTTGATTTCTCCCTATTTCACTTTCTTTACTCTCGTAATAAAAAGCTTAATTTTTAATTATAAAAAGTCACAGCCAGAAATTAAGTTGATTAAGGTTTTAGCTTATAAAAACATTAATTTATTCGGTTATTTCATCACACCCCGACTACGGGTATTTAGCTACTCATAATGCTCGGAATTAAAAAGCAGGAAATAAATTCAGAAAACAATAGCGCATGCATAATAAATAAAGAATAGAAATATAACATAAATAAAATTTGCAATTATATTGAACACAATAAAAAACCTGAAAAGCAATAAAATCCGAGATCCTTCTTCCACAAGCCGGCAAGATTGGAACGTCGGAATAAGAATTTAAATGGACGAAGTTCAGAAATAAAATTGAGATTAAAAATCGGCAGAGCTTCCGCAAGGTTTTTGTGAACTCAACTCTCCCCCCTTTTTCTTTCTAAGTCTAAGCTGTACCTAGAGAGTAAAAGTACGGTTGGAATTCTATTTGAGTTCCTAGATTCTTGGTTTTACTGAGAAAAATGAGGAGAAAGTGGCCTTCGAAGTTGGAGAGAAATTAGGCACGTATGCATGCTTTGCTTGACCACTTCATTTTGCTTTACCATGTTCTGTTGCTTGACCATGTTCAAAATTTAACACTTATAAGCTTGTTACGGGCGTGGCTGCTGCGTTACGCGCAGTTTGCATGAAATAGCGCGTTACGGTCGTGGCAGGGGCGTGACGAGCGTAACGCGCGTCTGAAGCGTCTTACGGTCGTGTCAAGGGCGTGACGACCGTAATGGCAACAATTATGGATTTCTTGACAGATTTATCTTTTCTCTTTGGTCTTGGCCGCAATCTCGCACATTTCACGTTTCTTCTTAGTTTGAGCTGAGATATGTTGTACCTGCATAAAACCATATAAAACTCGGAATATTCGAGAGTTAAT